GTTTCGGTTTCATCGAACCATCTTCAGGTGTAAAATTATATCAACAAACTTAAAACTCAATTACAATTTCTGTTGTGTAGCTTTTTGGTGATGTTCATATCCAGAGTTTTAAGTTTGTTGATATAATTTTACACCTGAAGATGGTTCGATGAAACCGAAACATGTTGTAAAAATGTTCCAAATGTAAATCGATTATTCGATGTGGAACATAAAATGATATTTTAATTATCTTATTTGTAAAATTTTAAATATAATTGTGATTAGACGGACAAAACCGAATAATTAATTTAATATTTGATTCACAATATGACGCAATTATACTATTTTATTAAATTTCAGTCAAAATCGGAGTGTCACTTATTGAAAATGAATCTCAAAGTCGTCCTATGATCTGAATTGTACAGACAAATGTATCTCGTCAACAGATTTACGTATCTAATTAGAGGCACTGTCTATATCTTTTCAGGTGCTCAGAATTCTTTTGCTGGTGTTTCGTACTTCATATACTTCCCGAGAACCAGTGTTCGCCGATTCTGTCTCTGAAACCGGTCGGAGGAGGGCACCAACCACGCGTTCCTGTTATCCTGACCTTGAAAACCAACTGATTTCATTTATATTCTTACATACATTGTTCTTTCAGCGGAGGGCACACCAATTCATAAATCACGAATAAATCCAACTTATAAGAAACAAAAATACAGAATCATTTAACTTACTTTTGAACTGGAGATGGATTTCAGCCTGGCCGCTGTGTGTGTGTCACCGATTCCTCAAGTCCTCGCTTGCTTCCTTGTAAAAGAGCACGTAGACCACATCAGTTCATCCCTAACCTCCGACTGCAGTCTCCGATCAGGACTGCCAACCCCTGGCAAATCCTCTCAGTTGTGTCTGGTTCACCCTCTCGCCCTCTCTTTGCATCTTCAGAGTACTACGTCAGTGTTTCCGGCTATCAGAACCCTCCAGAGAGGGTTCATCCCAACTTCTGCGTCGTAGTAAGGACGGAAAAGGTCCTCGACCTATAAGAATAACCAATCATTCTGTCGGAAAACAGTCTGGGTTCTTGTGGCGCCTGGTAAAAATTTACAGACGTTTCGGAGGTGCCTGCTGCCTACGTCATCATGGCGACGAGGCAACACGCATCTCTGAAACGTCAAACAACCTAGAAGACATCTGTCTTTGCACCCTTCGCGAACTAGGATGCAGACGGACTTCAAAGACGAACCATCACGTCTGTGAACTGTTCTTGGTACAGACGAATGCCACTGAGCTAACCCGCTCGGCTCTATTGTTTCCAGGGTCGTGTACGGTCTGAGACTTTTTCGAAACACGTGCATTTAATTGAATAAAAATTTTCTTGGATATTATCCATCGTCTAGTAAATATAAAACGTAAAAAACGACGTTTC